GTGAAAGCCTTCAACAATACAAACAAACATATGGTTCAGAACGGATTAAACGTAATTACATTGAACCTTATGGGGAAATTTGATTTGGTTCACGACCAGAGTCGCGGAACGAATTAAGTTCGTGAACCGGGGTACCACTGTACCTCACTATTTCCTGCCTCCTGCACTAAGAAGCAAATCATTTCATTCTCATGCATGAAGCAGATTGTTAACCCCTTCTGTGTGCACTCTTTTTCTGTTTTTTCCTTTAGCAAAGGAAGGGTTACAATCACACTGTTGATTTCTCTCCTTATCAGAAAGCTACTTCACTTAGAACTGAAAAAATTATCTCCTGCTCATCCCCAGTGAAGCAGCAAAGACATCAATGCCAACAAATCCCTAGCATAGAACGAACAGAAGGACCTGAGAATGCAGAAAAAACCCAAACAGAGGTCATGTTTTTCCCTGGAACTGCACACACCCCTCATAGATACAGGGAAAGAGGAATGGGGCAAGCTTTTTGCTGATCGACTGGTGCCCACAGCCTAGGATACAGTTTGTGCTATGCTCTTGAACTTACTATTTTCACACTAACAGAAAAATGCCATTTAGGCCTGGTATGCAAAACAGCCATATAACATCAACTTCAACAATTTTATTATTTGCTTACAGGGATTACAACTTTCAAGGGCCGCTACTTACACAGTCATGATTACAAGAGTCCCGATGAATTTACAGGAAAAAGAGTCATTGTGGTTGGCATTGGGAACTCAGGGGTGGACCTTGCTGTGGAAATAAGCCACACAGCGCAACAGGTTTGGATCCACATGTCTTGTTTTATATTAATGTAGGGCATCTGGGTAAGGAATTAATTAGGAATGTGTTCTGAAAATTGTAAATGTCCACTGCCCTTGTGAATCTCATGCCCCAAAAAGTCTGGTGATACCAAACCTATTACATGGAGGGAGTTACTTTGAAAATATCCATAGGATATTTAGTAGAATGTGATAAAGGTGGTGGAACAACCATTTTGAAACAAAGGAAAACCTGGCTAAAGTATTGTCTGTGATACAACTGGCAAGCTCCCTCTTGCTCATCTCCAGAGAATTTTTTTTAAAGCTTTTCCTCCAACTTTTGCTTGTATACAATATGTGTACAGCTTAGAAAAGGAAGTTAACTCTAAGCAATCTGCTTCCTTCCAGGTTTCTTGACACCTGGGCTAAGTTACTGTTTATGAGATAAGTTGTCAACTGACTCACCTGCTATCTTTTGATTGTTTATGCCTACTTTCCCATCCTCCCTACAGTTTTAGAATTGTGTTAATTTTGTGATATACCTGGGGTTAATTTCAATGATCCATTGACTGCCCACTGTGAAACTGTTGCCTCTGACAGGATAAGCCTTTGGTGCAGAAATATGCTGCTGACTTTCAGCTCAGCATGTGGGCTGGAATGAAGAGGCTTAATTGGCCATTTTAAAGAAGAACTATCAGATAGAGTACAAAAGAAGCCGATTCATCAACACATTCCAGGCGTTAATCTAAGTCTGCTGGGTATCAGCGGAGACTCCAAGAGTTGCATCAGCAAGCAGGAAGAGAAGATGCCACTATTCTCTTTCATTTCTTTCTCATGTCAGAGAAGTCAGACTGATGCCAGTGAAAATTAGCACAGGTCTGCCATCTACCTGAGAAAAGTTGCCCCAATACACATAAGGCCTATGACTGTATTGCGGAATCTGCCCACTTCACAGATGAACACCTTGCTAAGATCTTACCTTCAGAGCATCAATGAAGTATCATACTTGTGGGGAAGAGGGCATTTTATAATTAGATATCTTTAATGGTTTAGATCAGGCCTGTTGGGGAAATGACTCCATTCCATTTGCCTGGGGCCCAGAGGTTGGAGTAACCAAACCTTACATGGAGTTCAGACATGAGAAGATATACATCAACATTTATTCACTCCAGCTACTAGAGAAGATGGTGTATTTTGCCTGTTGCTTTCCTCCTGATCCCCTTTATTTGGCAGAGTTCAGCCATCTAATTTAGATGAACTATTTTCCAAAACAAGGAGAAATGTCATGAAAAGGAACCTTGTGTAAAGATAAAGGAATTAAAGTCTTAATTAAACCTTAATTAAAGTTCTGAAAGAACCACAAATATGCAAATCTCTTGGCTCCTCCAGCAGCAAGGAGGAAGGACTTAACATTCAGAGTGATGATCTAAGATAAGACATCATGCTAAACAACATCCTGTCTCTGATTCAATCAAGTATTTGATTAGGCAACGCAAGCAAAAATTAAAATTGGAATGAAGGAAATCTGTAACATCAATAAGATAGGACTTAGCAGGTATATCTGAACAATTAATAAGCAGTTTAAGGAAATGTCAAAATGAATGTTCAGTATAGGTCAAGCAACCAGTGAAGCATATGATTCTAACATACAGAATGCATCTAACATTGAAAAAGTTTAAGAAGTTATTTCAGATATCAAGAGAAGCTTGGCAGATTTACAAGAGCAGCTTAGAAGAAACCATCTAAGGTTCAGAAGTCTTAAAACAAAATGCTGAGAATGCTGGCATAATCGGTTACATGGCTGCAAGAATTAACATTTTTTTTCTGATCTAAAACTATTGGATCAGGATATTGAATGCGCCCACAGTTTATTCCTAGGCTCATAAAGATACAAAGCCAAGAGATATTATAATAACATTTTTCAGTGTTCAGACGCGAGACAAAATTATTCAAAAGGTATTGAGCTGCAAGAAATAATTGGAAATAGTTATTTCAGGTTATCAGGCAAGCTACTTTACAGAATAGAGAACATTCAACCTCCTTACTGAGCAACTTACTGAAAGAGGAGTAAGATAGAAGTCGGGGTTTCCATTCAAACCAAGGAAGGGTAATACTTTTTATGCTTCAAGAAATGAACAGAGCTTTGGATGATCTTAAGAAAGCCATCTGCCTTGTCAGTGTGGTTTAGCTAACCATCAAAAATTGATTATAAGTAAAGTTATCCATTCAAATCACTCTAGTTTTATTCTAAAACAAAATGTATTTTATTCTAAAACAAAATCTCCCTATTAGGAAATTATTGAATATTATACAAATTAGCAAAACTAATCCATTTTCACTAGTCATATATTCCTTAGGTATATTTAAAGCTTTTGCTTCTCTGAACTACAATTTTGAAAACAAGTATTAAAGAAATTTAAATTTGGGGCTGGCTTTTGCAAGATGATTGATCACGTTTATGGACCAACTAAGACTCAACAGTTATGACTCAGATTCTATTAATATTTCAAAAGGTACTAAGCAGAGCTGTTCTTGTATCACCTTTATTGTTCAACCTAGCTATAGAAGCACTGGCAACAGCACGATTGATCCAATGATCAGATTTATGGGATACAAGTAGTCTTTGTTTAGCAACTGCCTCGTATAGCAACTGTTTGCAGTTATGATGGTGATGGAAAAGTAACCTTGCGAGCAATCCTCACATTTATGACCTTTGCAGATCTGTAAAGCAAAGGAAAGCTGAAGTAATATTGTAAGCACAGTTGCAGTTTCACTTAGCGACCGCTTCATTTAACAACCAATTTTCTGGTCTTAATTATGGTTGCTAAATGAGGACTACCTGTATAATTGGGTGACAAGACATATCTTTGAAATTTATTTCCAGGTGATGTGGTTCTGACTCTTTCAATGCCTCCCATTCAGTTAACTACAGGTAGTCCTCACTTAACAACCACATAGGGACCGGAAAATTGGTCATTAAGAAGGGTGGTTGTTAAGTGAGTCACCATGTGACCAGACCAGATTTTATGACCATTATGGTCGTTAAGCGAATCACATGGTTGTTAAGCAAATCACATAATCATTAAAAGAATCCAGCTTCTCCAATGGACTTTTTTTGCTGGAATTTGCTTAATGATCACGTGATTCGCTTAATGACCATGTGATTTGCTCAATGACTGAAGTGATTTGTTTAATGACCTCAGTGATTTGCTTAATGACCATTGTAAAAAAGGTCACAAATCATGATTGTGTGACTATGAGGGGTGGCATGATGGTTTGTGACAGTCGTAAGTGCAAGTACAGGTTGTAAAGCACTCTTTCTGAGGCCGTGGTAACTTCAAACTGTCATTAAACGAATGGTTGTTAAGCGGGGACTACCTTTATGTCAGAAAAGTGTTAGAGGAATTCACAGAGATGTCAGGACTATCAGTAAATTTCCACAAATGACATTTGATGTATTTTCATACCCCCCCAATTTTTTAAAAAGAAAATCAATAATTATATAACAAAATGGAAGAAATTAAACAGGGAAATGAAAAGTTGGGCTAAAAATATTTCAATAGTTTAGGACAAATTACAGTAGATAAAATTAAAATCCTTTCAAGGCTCAATTTTCTATTTCAGTGCCTCCCAGTGGAAATTCCAGAATGGGTTATAAAATATTGGCAAAAAAAAAAAAAAGCTTCTGCTTTTATGAGACAAAATGGAGAATTAATAAAAAGATTTTATAGAGACTTCAGAAGAAGCAGGGAGGCTGGGGCATACCCAACTGCAGACTATTAGCATCAAACGGTACAGTTAGGGCATATAATTCCATTCATTTTGGAAGACCCTTCTAAACAATGGTTCCAAAATGAAACTATATTAGAGGCCAATAATTTTACAAATCAATGGTTCTTTCACCCAAAACATTTTTTTCAGAATAAACAAGATTGAAAATGTTTTTACCAAAATTATGCTCCAAATTTGGAAGAATAAGTATATAGCCTTGATAAAGAATGTTTCTGTAAGTTCTTTAATAACATATGTAGAACATGTCTGGTTCATATGAAACTTTTGAGAGGACACAACCTTTTTGGAATGAAATATAGAATGAACCTCTCAAGAACAGATAGATGATGGATCGGTGACAAGCTACTGTGGTGTTTCAACAGATGGATAGGTGACAAGCTACCGTGGTATTTCTGGTATGAACTTAAAAATGTACTGGGAAATAAGCTTCAGCAATTCATCCTTACACCAATTTTGAGAATTTAATACCTAGTTATCTAGAACAACCAAAAAGAACAATTTCAAAAATGTATAGACTACTGTTGCAATTAGAAATAGGAGATCCACCTCTTGGTGTAAAGGAAGCTTGGAATACCAATTTTGGTAAACCCATACAGGAGACAGATTGGCAGGCATTATGGAAATCGGGTGGATTCACCTCAGCATCAGTGCCATAACTTCAGTGGAAGGTTATACGTCACTGACACTTGACACCTGTCAGATTGGCATATATAGATACCATAACTATTCTTCCAAATGTTGGAGCTGTTGTCAACAAAAAGGGTCTTTCTTTCATTTGTAGTGGTCATGTGATAAAGCTTTTTATGCCCTTTTGGCATAAAATGTTTAATTTTAGCAGCTAAATTAATAATTGCCCAGCATTGGAAAACTTTAGGTAATTTAACAAATGAGATATGGATTAACAAGGCGCCAATTGCTATGTTAAAAAAGATTACAGATAAAGTTAAAATAATAAAACACCAGAGGCAGGAACCACAATTCTATCAAATTTGGGCAGACTTTATATTTTATCTCAGTTACAATAGACCTATTATTGGCAACACTTTTAATATATATTCAATATGAATGTGTATACTACCTATCTACTTTTTAGAAAATCTTTTGTTTTTATTTTATATATCTTTTTTCTCTATACATCTTGTGTTCATATCACTCAGTTACTTGACAATATTTGTTAACCACAATTCAATAATAAAAACAGGGGGAAATAAACTAAATGGGGGCTTACAGGAACCCTCTGTGAACTTTTTTCCCAAAGAAGTTCATGTATGGTTTTATTATCAGAAACAGATATAGGAAATCCTTCTTTAGGTTTGAATGAAACTAGAGAGATTGATCAGCAAACGTTGCAGTGATCTGGGGGATTTCTGTCAGCCTCTATGCAGGAATTATATTTGAAGGTTTTGCACTGATGGTATTTAACCCCCCTAAGAATTGCACAAATATCTCATAATTTTCCAACAGAATGTTGGAGGGGTTATAAACAGAAAGAAACATTCTTTCACTTTGATGGACAAGTGAAAAAGTATCAGATTTTTGGAACAAAGTTTTTGACAAATGTTATAATTAAAGAAAGAATTAAATGTTCATATTCGATGGATGGGGACTAAACAGTCAAAGAAGTACTACATTTTTACTTTTGGCAGTTGAATTGTTAATCACTCAGCACTGGAAAGATCTGGCTAATTTATCAGCTGAAATTGGTATAGTAAAATTTGATCAGTGGCTTTGTGTTAGATGAAGTTCATATGTTGAAGAAACTATTGTTAAAATTTTATTTTTAAAAAACATATTTAACCATGCCTGTCAATCCATAGACCCATACTGGCTCTATAGTTTGCAATCCCCTCTGGTGCTATGGGAGCAGAGTTGGGACTACCGATGGCCACCTTTTGTACCTAGGACCCATCTCAGAGTATACTGAACTTCTATAACTCACCATTAATAATCAGGAGTCCCTCCAACTTTATTTAGCCTCCCTGTTATATTTCCACCATATTTTACATTTCTACCATATTTCACAAAACACATATTCAGTGGGATAAAGCTAATATCACCTTTAATGATCTGGCATGCAAGACTTACAGCTTGAAGATTTTCAAACCCTCAATTCTCACTACCCCAGGGCAGAATGCCATCCTATCCTGCATGCCAAAAATTCTGACTATACCAATGTATTATCAGTCTTATTCCTGGAGCTCAAATTCCCATAAAATACCACTAACAATGTCAAATGCAGTTACCCTGCCTGAAAGAAATTATCAATTAGAATTTACAGAAAGCTCCTCCTCCTGTTCAGCCAATGCTCCTACCTTTTCTATTAGGAAGACTAATAGCTCCCTGCATGAATATGGGATCCTGAACTCTGTAAATCTTGGAAATCACTATCCTTTCCAAGTATTCAAGTATTTCCAAATTCTTGAAATGGCTGCATAAGGCATGCATTTTTACCAAATTGGATCCCAGAGGGCTTACAGTGTGAGTCACATGAAAGAGAGTCATTAATATTTAAGTGTCTTTGATACTTGTAACAGCAAGTCTGAATACAAGTAAGGCTGTTCAGATTGGTTACAGTCCTTTGGTGGTCATGTGATAATCATGTTTTTCAGGATTTCGTGGAAAAGTTTTTATTTCTCTAGATTTTTTGGTATCAACATATCTAGATTTTTCAGCATCAGCACCATCTTCTTGAAAGTCTGAAACATGATTTTGAAGTCCAAACTGACCACAAGACTTTGGAACACTTAAAAAATTTTCACAAGTTCACACAGTACCAACTCAAGTGGACACAATTCTGTTCTTGTTTTAACATTCTTATTTCTTACTTTCCTAGCTCAAATAATGAAAAAAATTGATGCTTTATCAGCCAGAATATTTCTTACTTTGTACCTCCAATTCCCAATCTGTACCTGGAAAACTTGGTTCCCCAAACAACTGGCCCACCCTTGGGATAGAAAGGAAATTACTTCCCCAACTGATCAAGGTCATATGAACCAAGATGAGACCTATATATAGACTCAGATACAATAGATGACCTTCAGTGTGTTTCCTTTGTCTTCTCCCTCTCTTTTCTTGAGAATGAAGAAACTGTACTATGCCATTCTGGTGGCAGTTGAACTCTTCTTTATAGTAGCCATTCCCTGTTATTGTCATGGCCTCAGGGCCAGGCTCCAAGATGCGGGCATAGATTCAGCAGACACTGAATCAAACACTGATGCCCTTTCAGATCCTTCCTCAGCCAGCACCCATCCCTTTTTGGCCAACATGTGTGTCAAAGAGTGGGGAAGACCCCCTCCCCCGCCTGAGAATCCTGCGCTCTGCCAGAGTAAGCACCTTGTAAGTAAGTGGCAAGACGCTGACTTTGCAAGTAAGTCTGGTGCCTCATTATTGGCAACTGCTGAGCAAGGAAAGCTTCAGCTGTCACACTGGGCGGGGAGAAGATTTAAACCATGCAGGGACTGCCTTCTGTTGCTGGAAGCAACTTTGGTATCTGGCTTTGCATGTTTTCTTGCTGCTGACTCCTGCTACATATTTGACTTCAGCATGTTTCTGGCTCTTTCCTTGGTGCTTTTCAAGATGTTGTGTGTTTTCTGATAATGGACTGACTGAACTGTCTTATGTCTTCTCTTCAGCCTCCAGTAAGCTGTGGTGCATATGCCTGATCTTTGTTCTACTTCCCAACTCCCCTCCTGTCATCTCTCCCATCTGCCTATGCTTGTGCTCTCCTCATACCTCTTCCTCACCATCTGCTGCCCTTTCTCCAGCCAAGATTTCCCAATGCCTTCACAAGCCTCGCTGAAAACCCACCACTCCAGCTGCTCATATTAGTACTCTCCTTGTGCCTCCTCTTGCTTCCCCACTTTTGCATCTGTTACCAAGCCCCTTCTACGTATGTGTTCCCTCCCTAGCACCTCTGTCTGCACTTACCTACACCCTACTTGTATCTTGCTGCCAATTGTATGAGCATTTATCTCTTCCGCTGAAGCCAGGATCTGAAAGTTATGATCTCCCCATCACCCCTAAAACAGCTCATCTTTTAATTAAGCAGGTTTTCTGGAACCATAACTTGCCCAATCATCTTATTTCTGATACAGGGACACAATTCATGGCACTGTTTTGGAAAGCTCTATTGGATGTAAAGCTGTCTTCAGCATCCACAGTTGAATGGTGAAATTAAGAGACAAATGCCATCATACAGCAATACTTTTTTACTGTGTAATCTACCGGCTAGACAATGGACCCGACCTTTTACCTATGGCTGAGTGTTGTTATAATAACACATTTCATGCCTCAGATGTCATTATTTCAGGCAACATATAGTTGCCACCTATGCTTGCTGCTTCCAGAACTTCTCCCATTTTAGAGACTGCCTCTTTTTTCAAGAGCTTCACACTCTTATCATCTTTTCAAAAATAACTGAATTGTGCCAAAGCCCTCTGTCGCCTGTCATTTCCAGGAAGCTCTCTCCATCCAGTTGCTACTGGACGTTATACCAAATTTGTCACCTCCACACAAATGTCTACAAAGCTAGAAGACAAGTCTGTTGAACCAGTTCAATCCTGTGGCTTTTTGCCTACAATTTCTATCTGTACTGAAAATACATCCAGTTTCCCACCAGATACCCTAGGCTTGCAATAACCCCTATCCACTTCTGCCCTAACCACCCCACTTTTGGTCAAATGGAGGAAGAATGTGGATTTTCAGTATATGTGATATAGACTAGAATAGCTGATTCACTGGAAACTCTACCAAGACACTGAATATTTAAGGGAAACAGCAGGGAATGTAAATGCACCATGTTTCTCTCAGTAGTACCATGTGCAGCTAACATGGTGATCATCAGACATAACTAGCAAAGAGACAGAAAAACAGTAAAAGTAACACAAATTTGCATTATCCACAAATACATCATCTTTGTATTCCTGATTAGAATTAAATATTGCAACACTGAAAATAATACAGGAAAAGTGTTCGAAATCTTCTCTACAACAATTTATCCTAGGTCAAAGAATTATTCATTTCACTTTTCCATCTCTATTTGTTTTATAAATACTGGCATCTTGCAGATACTTTAGTAATGGTTTGGGGAACAGCAAAAAATACTAGTAAGAAAAAAAATGTTAGTGGTTTTATTAGTTTAAGATACTGTCTTTCTCTATGTTGTCCAGGTTTTTCTCAGCACTCGCCGAGGAGCATGGATATTCAGCCGTGTTGGTGATAAAGGCTATCCATTTGATGCTGTATTCACTACTCGATCTAATTTACTCCTGAAACAGTGTCTTCCCATGTCCAAGATCAATCAGTTGATAGAGTACAAATTAAATAGCAGATTCAATCATTCCCATTATGGCTTGAAACCTGAACACAGGTATCCTACAATAATATGCTACTTTGCCTTCTTTTACACCTTAATTCAATAAATTTGTATTTCACATTTCTTCCAGCACATAGCTCAAGCTGCTGTACATTGATAAATATTGCTGCTAAATATTGACCAGACCATTATTTAGCACTAGTAAGTGGGTAACTACAGCATCTGCCACAAGCCTCGACAGAATGGCAAATTCTTGGATACTAGCTACCTCTTCTGTTTACAAAGGATATGTTAGAACTACAATGTTCAGCAGAGATGGGCAGAGGATGGCCGAGGACCAGGTGGCTCCTTAGATGTTTCAGCTTTCCCCTGAGAAAACTTTATTCATTAAGAGGCCTATTTGCTCAATGCTTTGAACCCTCAATAACCCATGTTTTCTGTTGTGGTGTAGAGAGTAAAGAGGACAATCTTGATGGAGAGAGCGAAGATCCATTAACAAGGCAATGGGTAGATAAACATTACTTACGCCCAGGCAAGGGGATAAAGCTACAAAAATGTCTCAAACAGGCAACACCCCCTAATTCACATGATATATAAAAGAGGGAGCAGGAGAAGCACATTTATAAAAATAGATTTAGGCCTACATGGCATCTGTTTCTTGGTCTGGTCTACTTTGTAGGGCTGACAGGTAATGCTTTGAGGTCATCTGATCCAAGTCATGGGGCCCTCAGCTACCTACAGTTCTGGACTGAGCTGCAATCCTCTGAAAGTCTAGGACCCCTGAGCTCTTGTTTGCCCTGAGATAATTGGATCCTAAGATTTGGATTAATTCTCTGATGAAGACCTATCCATCGGGAATCTAGAGTCTTAAGTAGAACTTCATTTACAGCTTTCTCATCCCTTTAAACAACCCAAAATAGCAGCGCTAGGAAGAAATTGATTCCCTCTTTGTCTGTGCAACATTGCTCAGAATTATTGGCTTTTTGTCCTTAAGCAGCAACTGGAAGCCAGCAATCTGAAACAATGTTACTGGATGAATGGAAACCTTGGGGTGGGGTGGGGTGGGGAGGGTGGGTAATGTGTGATTGAGGTCATGTCTCTCTGGCTCTCAAAATACCAGTAGGTAATCTGTGTGGCCCTTGTGGCCAAAACATTGTATATTCCTCATCTAGAATTTAATTTCCAGGTATTAAAATATCTAGTAATTATTTTAATATCTCATTTCCTGATTGAAAAGTTGGGTGCTGCTTTTCAAAGAACCAGACATAAGCAGTTTTGAAGTGATTGTTTTAACACCACTAGTGTTCATTTAAGCACTCATTGATTCCAGGACTATGACTTTACACAAATAGTTTTTTTTAAAAAAACGATCTATTTATTTATAAGACTGATTTGGCCACCTATCTTATACAATAATCATACGAGGCTCACCACAAAATCAATAAAACAATAAAATATTTCATTCATAAAACAATAAAACGCTTCCCACCATGGTGCCATGATAACCAATTTTAATGATAATACAAACGTTTTATCAATGGCACAGAATCTTTGATAAATGCTTGAGGTAGCATGTAAATGGCATCTCTTCCATCCCAGGCTATTCTGAGAACAGTATTAGCTATTTAATTTATTGAGTGGCTGTGCATACACTATAGCAGGCAAGATCTCATCCAGTCTCCAGTTGTCATGCCAAATTCCTAAATATTCAACGATACCTTTCCTGTATGACAGTGCCTTGCTGTTTCATGATGTTTGTATTTTTCTTTAGTCTGTGAAGCTTTGTATGTCTTTTTCCCAGCTTTTTCCTCTTTCTCTCTCCTCTTAAATAAAGCTGAAAAATAAGTTATTCCTCTGAAGTAAGACTTGCCCAGCTCTCTTCCACGGTGACAGAATATATTGTTCCAGATAGCTTAAGAGTTATCCAGAACAAGATACGGGAGATCAGTGGAATATTCAGCTGACCCAAGAACAAACTGTGGGTGAACCCTACATAGGCAGACTTGTCTGATGGACAGTATGGGGTCTCCTTGAAATAGATCTGCTAAATTATGCTGTGCTGGTATGGTCTTTCTCTGATCACCCCTTCTAATTTTGCTTTTGGCAAGGTTTCTATTGACATTGTTTTAGCTCCTTTGCATCCCTATCACCATTTTATTTTTCCTCTTACAGAGTTTATAGCCAGCATCCAACCATTAATGATGACCTCCCAAACAGCATCATTTCGGGGAGAATTGTCATAAAATCAAACATCACAGAGTTTACTGATACTGCTGCCATCTTTGAAGATGGTTCAAAGGAAGAGGATATAGACTCTGTTCTCTTTGCTACGGGATACAGTTTCTCATTTCCTTTCCTTGGGAGCTCTATGAGGGTTATTGAAAATCAGATTTCCCTATATAAATTTGTCTTCCCTCCTCATCTGGAGAAACCCACTCTGGCGATCATTGGTCTTGTACAGCCTTTGGGGGCCATCATGCCCATTGCAGAACTGCAAGCTCGCTGGGCTACACGTGTCTTTAGGGGTAAGGTTTTTCAAAGTTTTTCTGGATATTGATGTATTAATCTTGGACACTGGGTTCACACAGTATACTTATCATGGGGTTAACTGGATTATATTGAAGTCATCTGATTGCCTGGGTTTGTGCAACATACCAAATGAGAAGCAACTACACTAGCTGGATTAGCATAACATTCTGAACAACAGATCAACCAACCATATACCTCAGTGAAACCAGCTATACTTTCAGAATGAAAATACGAACCATGATTATAAATGGATACTTTTGATTGTACTAGACATTTCTGGCGTTAAATATTTTTAAGTCAGATCAATTGCCTTATCTAATGAAGAGCTGCCGTTGGAGCAACCTCCTTATATGGACTTGCTTCAGAAACTTTGTTCCCATTTGACCAGCTAACCTTAATTATGCATAACACATCACAGAGGAAAAGATAATTCCATCCATTCTTGATAGGAAGTTTTAATTTAGCTGAATGAAAGTGTTTCCAGAAATCCTTTATCTTCATTTCCCTTTCTTTAAAACCTTCCTTCATTCAGATCTGTTAAAGTATTGTCTCTTCATCTTTGTCCCTCTTTTTTAGGACTTGCTAAGCTGCCATCAACAAGTGAGATGGTTTCTGATATTATTATTAATAAGGACTCCATGGCTAAAAGGTATATGTTTCAATTGTTGAAATGCATATTAGTATTCTAATATTAATACTTCCTTTAAGCATAATAATTGGTAAGAATGTAGATTAGGTAAGTGATCTTCTGCTACTAAAACATACCTGCAGCCTTTTCTAAGCAGGTGACACTGTCAGGCTTCCCAAGGCCTGAAGCTTCTTAGAGACATCCATAGGGGTAGAAACTAAATCTTTATTATATTTCAGGAACAACAGTCAGTTGTTGTTGACTGAGCGGCTGAGGCTCAGTGACAGAACTTAGATTTCCTCCCAGATGAAATCCAGCACTTTTTCCCCCATATTCATTCTCTTTGTAATGGATCTCTTGCCTTCCATTTCTCATGCTCACTCATGATTGTCTGTTGCACGTTTACATTCTCAGCATTCCTGCTCTGAGAATTTCTTGCCACAAACAGAGTCCTCACAGATACACTCAAAGAAAGAACTGGACTGCCATTTTTGTTTTCTATGAATGTCTGTGTGTGCCCAGAAGCATTTTTCTAAATTAAAGATGATGCAGGAGGCTGGCATTTTGTTTGGCGAAATAAGATCTTTACAAATAAATACTGGTGGTATTTATTTATGTATTTATAGGCTGCCCAACTCCATCCCAACTCTGGGTGGTATACAACTTAGGACAATTAAAAATAGAAGACAAAGATCATACAACACAAACATCCAAAAAAGAACACCAGCGATACCAAAACAAACATCCCACCAAGCACTGTAGCACAAGGTCTTGTTTTTATACAGAAAGTTGCTGCTCCTTTCAAAGAGCATTAGATCTGGGTTGAAAAAATAGGACTAGCACTTCCTGGGACTAGTGTCCCAGGAAGATTCAGCAATAATGTAATGGCAAACATATTGTGGCCATTATGCAAATCTGAAATCTAGAAATCTGAATTGTGTTCAAACCACATGAAAAATAAGTAACAACGAGAAAAACAGAGACACTGAGCTGAGGAAGGAAAGCAGGGCTTGATCTGGACCAAAATCTGCCATAACTTTCCCTGATTCCCTCAACTATGCACATCAGAAGATAAAGATGCCACCACTTGGTAAGTGGTGTTTGGGTATAGCCCAAACTGATATCTCCACTGCCACCAGTTATGCCTGATTTTATTTTCATATCCTGTAGTGAGTCTTCTAGATCAGTCCAACATTTAAATGGTAGTTTAATCGAGGAGGAGGAGGAGAAAGCAACCATTGTCACAATCTGAGGACTTCCACGTGAAAAGGAAAATCCAATGAAAAAAGGTCAAAGAAAATGATAGAAATGGAAAGAAAATAAATAGGAATGACACCCTTCTTTGAAAACAGATTGAAATGGGATTTCACTTTAGGAAATATTGAAGATCATTGCTATGGAAACTCTGTGCTAGCCTAGGTGCTCCCTGTGAGGTCTATGTTTACTCTTGCAGTACTTGCCCTCTGAAACATCTTCTGCCCTAAAATATACCTGGCCCTACCCCAGTTGCGTTTAAAAGAGCTTTGAAAACCTGGCTCTTACTCCAGGCCTTGGGTTAGAGTGGGTGGCAGGTTCTGTGTGTTGCACTGTTTTTCATTGGTTGATTTTTCGTCCACTATTTGGGTTTTTTAGATTGTATTTTGTGATTGTGTTTACTGTATGCCATCCAGAGTCATTGTAGAATTGGGCTGCCTTGTAAACAATTCCTCCTCCCCCCACCCTCCATCTGTCTCTTTCAGGTATGTGAAAAGTCAACGCCACACCATCCAAGTGGACTACATTGACTATATGGACGAACTGGCTTCTCTGATTGGGGCCAAGCCCAGCATATGGTCCCGGTTTATCACAGATCCCAAGCTGGCCAGGGAGATTTTCTTTGGGCCATGTACTCCATATCAGTATCGCTTGCAAGGACCAGGAAAATGGGATGGAGCCAGGAAAGCTATCCTGACCCAGCATGAAAGGATCTTGAAACCCTTGAGAACTAGGCCAGTTAATCAAGCAGACAACAACGCCTCGGTGCCCCTTTGGCTTAAGTTGGCTGGCCTTCTTGTTGTGTTTGCTGCAATTTGGACTTTTTTTTAAGTACTAAAAAGTCCTATCTGTTAATATCAACCCCAACATACCTAGATATTGGTTTTATTATTTCATCTTTGTGCTTTTAATAACTCACCTATTAAGTCTGCGCATATATTTCCCTGTTATCCTGCTATTCATGCGAGCCAGTTTTGCTAGATGGGAATGTATTTTATTTTCTTAAAATACATAAAGCAAAATAATCTGCCTAAATATAACCTATAGGAAATATGTTGCTTGGAGCTTCTCTGGAAATTTAACTTTGCCCTGCAATGCAATAATTGTAAACAGACAGATGCTGTAACTGTGACTAGTGGTTGAATGGAAAGGATGCTGAGCAAGGACTACTTATGTGGGGGAAAAAAAGTAATGTTTAATGTAATGTATCAGTTTCCTTTCTTGCCAAGATGCTCAGTAGATTTGACACATACCCTGGGGGGTGGAGGTGGGAGTGATATTCCAGATGGCAGAAAAGCTACACTTCTGTACCCCTCTCCCAACCCCACAGCATTTGCCAAACAGCATCAATCACTCCATAGGAATTTTCCAGTTATAATGAATCGGGTTTGGGGTTGTGTTTACAAGTGAGTGGGAAAGGAGATGATTTGGAATACGGGGTGTTAGTGAGGGAAGTTAGAGGAAATATTGACTGACAATATTGGCAGTTTGAAGTGGGTAGTGAAAATCAGCTGGCTGGGAATGACTTAAAGGGATTAACTGGAAATAGTTCCTTTCAGCACAAATTCTACTGCCCTTAATTTCCCTTCATTGTGTCACAGATACTCTCTCTTTAACTCTGAATAATTGTCAGTGAGATAAATGCTTTGAAAAATTCAGAGAACTACACATATTACAGTATTACTGGTAACACAGTTCAAGTTTGAGTTTCAAGTTCATCTTTATTACAGCCAAGACCAATCATGTAAACAAACAAAATACAATCCTTACCACTAATGAACACCCTCCTATTGAAAAATTAAGATGTACTCCACTAAAATGTACTATGTGATGGCAGTGAGCAGCTGTTATCTCCTCTCTGACTTTAGAAGCTATTACAGGTAGTCCTCAGATTATGACGGCAATTGGGACTAGAATTTCTGTCACTATCAATGTGGCCATAAAGCAATTCCACAGTCCTGGTTGCTGTTGTAATCCCAGGACTGTACAGGTCATTAAGAGGCAGGAGTCACATGCAAGCAGGGGAGCGGGGATTGCCATGGACAGGTGCTACTGTGTGTGGATGGGTGCGCATAGGGATTGCAGGGGGCAGGTGCTTCTGAGCGTGGGTGGGCGTTGCAGGGGGCAAGTAGTGCTGCAGATAGGCACTACTGAGTGCAGGTGGAGATGCAGGTGTGGCAGGTGGTGCCACAGGCAGATGCTACTGAGCATGGGCAAGTACATGGGTGTTGTAGGGGGTGCTATGGGCAGGCGCTACTGAGCATGGGAAGGTGCCTGGGGGGGACAGCAGGTGCTGCGGGCAGTGAGCACAGGCAGGCGATTTCCAACTTTCTGCTGGTTTCCCCATTGACTTTGCTTGTGGGAAGCTGGCAGGGAATGTTGGAAATCACGATATGCGACCACAGCTTGTTGCAAGGTCATAATCACCAGCCAGGTGCCAAGTGCAATGGCCACAACTTCATGAATAAAACTAGTCTGAACAGCCTGGAAATTTCAACTGCTCTGGAGTAATGTACTTCAATTACAATATAAAAACATACAGGTAACATTTTCAATTGTACTTGCTTCACAAGGGCAAGGACAATGAGCCATAAAATGTGAATCTGCCCTGCAGAACTGCAAAGGGTAACATGCTGAATGTTCCCTTTGTAAATACTCTCCTTGGTTTATCAAATAGAGCAGATACAAAGCAGGTTTCCTTTAGAACCGAGGAATGAAGCGATTCAGGGGATAAGGCTACAGAACACAGCTTTAACTCTCTAACCTGCTTCCACCTGCTGCTGCCCCACAGAAGATTGGATGTGAGGCCTAATTGGGAAAACTGAGCTCTTGGAACAAGTTGGGAATGCTGCTCTTATACTGTTCTCTCTGCTAGAGGGTGACCTCTTTGTCAGAGCTGGTGGCTTTCCAAAGAGCTTTGGGCAATGAAGTGAACTAAGAGATGCTAGCATACCGCTGGCATAAAATGAGTGAGAGTCCATATTTGGGCCTACACTGTGGCAATAAGCAGTGAAATATCAACATTTCTCGGCTCTTATTACGCCCACAGAT